AGCCGAGTGCAAACTACCTCGCGTAAAAATAAATAAAACGCACATTCGGGGTGTTTTCGAACAGCGAGGCGTGTAGGCGGACACGATTGTACAGCTTTTCGTGGAGCTGACGGACGTAGATGGCTGCACACGCAAGTTCGCGCATGAATTCTATGAAATCGGTACTCTCTTCGTCCCGATAATCATAGGCGAGGACTTCCTTGGGAAACATAAAATATGGGTAGGCAGCAATCCACCAACTGAATTGATCCTCGCATCAGGGGCCAACGAGAAGGAAGAGACCGACGAATGTGCCAAGGCCCCCGAACCGGCGTCCATTTCCATGATGGCGAGCGCGCCATGCGCTCCGCCGCGCGAGACGATAATAACTAGGAATGAGTCTTCGACGTCGAACTCGTCAACCAAACGGGCGACAGATTCGAGCGGTGATGCGCTCAAAAGTGGGGAGTTCGATCGTAAGCTCAACGAGCTTCTCGCTCGACAAGATAAATTACTGGACGGAACTCTAGGTAGAATACGCGATTACGAACACCAAATTCGAATGTTTAGTCAGAAACTGTTCAGATGCAAAATCTATCCGATTCCCGCCAAACATCGTCAGGAGGCGCGTCGACAAATTCGCGAAATTGAGGAGCTGGACGTCGTCAGGCGCGCCGCGACACCATATATCAGTCCGCTGGTAGCGGTAAGTAAGCCCAACAGAAGAATTCGCATTTGTCTAGATGCAAGAGGCATTAATAAACGCATGGAGCCTGACCACGCCCAGCCACCAACCATCGATGTATTAGGTGGTAAACTTAGTTCCTGCGGCTCACAGTTAGATGACGTTAGTTGTAGGTGTAATTTATTTTGACATCTGAAACTGGCTGCATTTTAGAGGTTAGACATTTGTCAATAAAATTCAGTGCGAAGAGATTCATTTAAGCGAGCAGTGCTATTTTTTCTTTTGATTAAATATGGAACGTGATAAGTTGTTTTTTCGACATGTGCTGCTTCATTACTTTGACTTGAAAAAAACTGCAGCTGCAGCTCATAAATTGCTTTTCGAAGCTTATGGCAATTATGCTCCATCGGAAAGAACATGCCAAGTATGGTTTCAGCGATTTAAGAGTGGTGATTTTGATGTCAATGATAAAGAACGCTCAGGCCAACCGAAAAAGTTTGAAGACACCGATTTGCAGGCATTATTGGACGAAAACTCTACTCAAACGCTCCAAGAATTGTCTGCAGCATTAAATGTTACTCCGATGGCTGTTTCCAAACGTCTACATGCAATGGGAAAAATTCAAAAGGAGGGAAAATGGGTACCACACGAATTAACCGCAAATGCCATTGCGAATCGCTTAAACATCTCTATTTCTCTGCTCGCCAGGCAGAAAAAGAAGAGTTTTTTGTGGCGCATAGTGACTGGCGATGAAAAATGGATATACTTCGATAATCCTAAACGAAGAAAATCATGGGTAAACCATGGCCAACCATCGACATCCACACCAAAGAGAAATATTAATGGCCACAAAGCAATGCTTTGCATTTGGTGGGATATGCACGGCGTCGTTTATTATGAGCTACTCAGACCGAACGAAAGTATCACGGGGGATCGATATCAATCACAATTAAACCGTCTGAATGAAGCATTGTTGGAAAAAAGGCCAGCAGTAGCCAGCAATCGACGTAAAGTCATGCTTTTGCACGACAACGCTCGACCACACGTTGCCAAAGCCGTCAAAGAAACACTGATGCAGCTCGAGTGGGAAGTTCTCCCGCACCCAGCGTATTCACCAGACTTAGCTCCTTCGGACTATTACTTGTTCCGGTTGATGCAGCACGGCTTGGTGGATACACACTTCAGAAATTACGAGGATGTGCGAAAATGGATCGACGAATGGATTGCATCAAAAGACCAATCGTTCTATCGTCGCGGAATCTACGCGTTGCCCGAAAGATGGGAAAAATGTATAGCTAGCGAGGGAAAATACTTCGATTAATGTATTTTTTGCTTTTGATGTCGAAATAAATGAGTTTTTTAAACAAAAAAACCGCAGGAACTAAGTTTACCACCTAATAGTATTGACTAGCATAGGACGAAAACGCGTATTTACTAAGTTAGACATTACACAGGCCTACTGGCAAGTGCCGTTGAGCGCCGGCTTGATGGCATACACAGGATTTTCCTGCGACAACCAAACGTATGTTTTCGAGAGACTCCCGTTTGGTCTCAACACCGCAGGGGCGTCGTTTACGCGAGCAATCGAGGCAGCGCTCGGCGACGAGCCAGACTTAAGAGCAAATGTGATCGTCTACCTGGACAAGGTGCTAATCGCAAGTAACAGCGAGGATAAGCACTTACGTCATTTGACGCGAGTATTCGAGGCGCTCGAACGAGCCGGATTTCGATTGAATCGCGACAAATGCGAATTCGCACAAGACAAAATAGTCTTTTTGGGACACGACATCAGCCAGGTACACGTGAATATTACTAATGAGACTAAAGAGAATATTCTCAGGTTCACCAAACCCCGTACGAAGAAGGAACTTCAGTCGTTTCTGGGGATGGTGAACTGGGACCGCCGTTTTATTCCCAACGTCGCGCGAAATACCGCCGTGTTGGAGGAGCTACTGCGCAAAAGTGTCAAATTCGCGTGGAACGCTGACAAAGACGCGGCATTCGAACGTATTAAAACCAGCGTCAAAAACGCTAAAAGATTATATCTTTTAGACCCGAAACGTCAACTCGGAGTAGAAACGGACGCATCAAACGTTGGAATAGGCGCCAAGCTCTTCCAATACGACAATGAAGGTAACGAATACACAGTAGCGTATGCGAGTCGAAATTTACGAAGGGCGGAACGGTGTTATACGATCACAAAGTTAGAAGGTCTCGCGCTTGTCTGGTGTTTGAAAAAATGGCGCGTGATTCTGATGGGCCACCGAGTGCTCGTGCGAACGGACCATCTAGCGCTGCGCTTCGTCAGCACGTGCGCCGTCGCAAACCAACGCATGGCGCGATGGCTGTCGCTCCTATAAGAATTCGATCTTGACATCTAGCATATCCCCAGAGCGAGAAACGTGACGGCGGACGCGCTCTCGCGCAAACCGATCTTAAAACGCAAGCGCACAATAAATAAAGACGAAAATGGCGGGAGCGCATCTTTATTCGACGAACGAGAAGACGACACGGTACCGTTTGAATAGTCGAACGACGGCCGAAAAAAGTTCGCGCCGCGAATATGTCTCATGGCCGAGCCCGACGAGGGTATGCAGACCAAAGAATGAATAGCGCAGAGAGACGATCGCGAGCTCAACGAAAGCGTACGTAAAAATCTGCGACAATAGATCGTTCGCGACGGTATCATCCGCTTGCGCACGGGACCGTTTAAAGATCGTGTACTGGTACCGAAAACCGCAGCATGGGACTTAGTCGATCGAGTCCATAAATATCTAGTGCACTTTGGAACGGACAAGGTGCTCGAATTTACACGCCGGTACTTTGTTTTTAGTAACGCGGAACGTATCGCGCGCGACGTCGTGGCCTCATGCCAACTTTGCATCGCGACGAAGACGTATACGAGGCCCACCGCAGAACCTCAATATTACGACCAACCGATGGAACAGGGAGAGGTCGTATCCGTCGACCTGTACGGCCCTCTCCCAAGCTCGTATAATCACAACATGTATATGCTCGTCCTGATGGACCAGTTCAGCAAGTACACCAAAATGTACCCGATTGCGAACCAAAGTCTCAGGACGATCGAGCACGTAATAGAGACGTTTTACGTACCCGACATAGAACGCGTGCCTCGCGTCATGTTATCCGATTGCGTAGAACAATTTATAACGCTGCGCTGGCGCCAATTGGCGCACCACATAGGCTTTACGACACGAAGAATGTCATTATACAATCCACAAAATAATTCCGTGGAAAGAGTGATGCGCGAGCTGGGGTGGGCGCTACGCGCGTACGCAAATGAAGATCATAGGCGATGGGACGAGATTGCGCCGCATGTAGAACAGGTAATCAATGCGACCGAGCACGCAAGTACAGGTTATCTACCAGTGACATTTGGAAATAGACAGGCCGACCTCGTAATCAAGCCTCCGGAGGCATTGCGTCTGACATAAGAAGAACTTTTTCGACACGAACAAATAATAGACAAAGCGCGTGATAGACTCGTGAAAATAGCAGCAAAACAGAAACGGGAAAACGAGAAAAGAGAAGTAGCGCGCGAATACAGCGAGGGAGATATGGTATGCGATCAGCGTCACGCGAAGATTAGAAAGCTGTTTCCTCTATACGAGGGCTCATTCAGAATCCGACCGAAATCCCACTTAAACGCGTACACCGTTGAACGACTAACAGGTGAAAGTATAGGCGCATACAATAGTAGACAGATTAGGCCCCACCGAATCTCCGCGTGGCGATCAGAAGAACCGGTCGACGCTCCCCTCCCACCCGAAGTGGTGGAGAACCAACCAGGAGAAAGCACCGAATCACAGGACAGCGCAAAGAGAGGCACGTCATACGAGACCTCTTTCGAATCTACAGAAAGCCTATCACAATCTAGCTCCAACCGTCTAACACGTAGCACGCGTAACTCAACGCTTAGTAACGTAACATTGGAGTTAGACTCCGAATCTAACGCAAACTATATACCACGCCCTAAAATAAGACGACAAATTGAATTGAATCGTCGCCTGATACCGACGATACGTGGGAAATCATACGCGTTCCCCGAAAAAAACGAATAAGATGGGCGGACAGTACAGAGTCTGGCGGGAGCACGGAAACAATAGCACAGCCAGTACCCGAAGTTATTAACCTATCGACAACTGAAAGCGACGAATAGTAACCCAATTTAAGAATACCTTGAGACTTCCTAAAAACCGCCGTATTAACGGCGATTAATAAAAATCCCTCCCATCCTGAACTATCACATACGCGGAAACAAAACCCAGACCACTACAAACAACCTAAGATGGTCTTGTTTTTCTCCTGTTCACAGGTCACCATGGATTTAGAAGAAGCCAGGGAACGAAACGAGCACCTCGAGCGACGACTCATAGCGCTCGAAAGAGAATTGGAGCTAGCAAAACAAGAAAGAAAACGTGAGGAGCTCAAACGGCTGAACGAAAGAACAAAAGAATTAGAACATCAAATCGCACTCCGCGAAGCCGCATTAGCCGAATACCAAGCAAACAAACCAATCAAATTAACGGGGAGGAACAAAAATCAGGAAGACTCGAGACAACCAATAGAAGAACCGAAACCTAGTACGTCAAAATACAAGGAAAGCTGGGAAACAACAGACGTCAAACACGAAGACAAACAAATAAATATCGAAGACAAAGAAAATCAAGCACCAAAGTGGCAAAGGACGATCAACCCAGAAAGCCAACCATGGGAGACACCACCACAAATTAAAACCAGAATAGTATGGAATGAAGTATATTCATCCTCGTCATCCAAGACACCATCGTCAGAAAAGAAACACGAATCTCAAACAAATAACAAGCTAAAAGCAAAACCAGTTATAAAGCTGAATCGTCTTGAGGAAGTCGATCCGACATTAATTCTGAATTCCAGAACACGGACGAGAACCAGCATAGACTTCCGATCACAATTCGATATCCGGAAAAAAGAAAAAATACGCCACGATGAACAAATAACAAGATGGATCGGCAAAGAGACACGACTCGGCGGCCACCATCACCGTAAGGCGCTGACGAAAGCCAAAGTACAAGAGACATGGCGATATAAAGCACAGGGTGTCCCACCAGGCGAAGCAACACTGCTCCGTCTCGAAAAAGAACATCGCCGCAAAGCAATAACCACAGCAAAACAAAAAACTGGTTTTGGCCGCCTTTTCAAAATCTTATCGGACTCAGACATCGAAGACGCAGGTGCTGACGAGCCCGCACCTGTTCTAGCCGCGAACCCGCCAGCAGGCGGGAGAGTGCGGCAGAAAGCAGCCACAAGCGCGGCGACCGCCACCACCATCAAGGTCGCTGCAGTAGGGTCGAAGATGCAAGAAAATGGGAAGAGGACGGTACATCGACAACGCAGTGACGACGAGCTGAAACATCTGCCAAGAATTGTCTCTGTTGGTACGATGCGCGAGAGCACCTGGGCCGAGACCGGGGCGGAGGCCGGGGACGTGGAGGATAAACTAACTCCACCTACCCTCAACCCGTCCGGACGAAGAAGGAAGACGACCAGGCCGTCCGAACCAGTGATAGACCTGACGAGGCGGTTCAAGCTGGCGAGGAACCCGACCAGGCCATCCGAATCAGTGATAGACCTGACGAGACAGTCCGAACCGGCTACGAGTGCGGAGGAGTGATGCGAACCGGAGGAACCGGCGGGAACGACCGATTCGGGGACGCCGGAAGGACTCGACATCAAGGACAAGACCGACGACACCAAGGTAGACCGACGAGGCGCAATCGTGCGCGAACCGAAACGCGTATCAACGGCGCCGATACGTGCATAAATCGGACGTGAATCTAGGTTTAAGATTAACAAGTAAGGTAGTGATAAGTTAGTATTGAGTTAGATTAAGTGTAATTAAGGGGTAGATTGAGCTTGACGCTAGGAGACGTGAGTGAATAAACAAGCACTAGTGACGAGCTAGGCGCGATCTCGGACTAGTAAACGTGTGAAAGCATGAGGGTCAGGTATCGCGTGTGTAAGCATGAATAAAGGAAACTGGCACGGGCGCGTATGCGTATCGAAAGAGCGCGCTAACAATACAGACCTCCACGAGCCGAAGGGCCGCGCTGGACGCGGAAACGTCGGGGGCGAGATCGCGGAAACGCGAAATAGTACGCGTCAGACAAATACCTGTTAGAGCATAACTTAGCACGTGCCAAATGGAGCTTCCATTAAAGAGAAACGCGAGTAGGAAAGGAGCCCGACGTACCGTAGGGGAAATCAGGGATATGGTTCGGTATGCAATAGGATATCGAAAGGTAAAGCGGAAATGTAGAGTCGCAAAGGTGGTTACGTAGTCCGGGGAAAGCGTCAAAATATTGGTATTTTGAGTGTCCGTAAAAGTAAATATTAACGGCTGTGATCATACCAAAGGATATCGGTAGTTTACGTTAAGAGCTAGAACGAACGCGAAAGTTCGAATTTGTGATAAGCGCGTGGGATCGTCGTGAAGGTGAAGGATATGTAGACTATTAAGGAGCTAAACCTGAAAGAAAAGAAAAGGGTTAGTATCGATATTATCTACGGATATCCGTGATCCATGGGCTGAAGTCCAGGATCCGGGATCCGAACTCCAGGGTCCGTATTCCGAAGTCCAGGGTCCAGGGTACGAGGGGGCAGCTCCTGAAACAGAAAGAGAAAAAATGAGGTTTAAGTTTATGTTAGAGGTTTATTTTAAATTTATCCGAAGCCGGAGCGACGACCTAGGCAAGCTGGGTGCGTTAGCGTATACGGGCAACGTTATATAACGGCGAAAAGATTCGCGGGTGTTATTTAGATTTTTATAATCATATATGCATGCTTAACTTGAATTTTAGATTAATTTAGATATTTAATTATTTATTTTATAAGTTAAAGACGGTCTGAGCGCATTGGCATGCAGCGAAGTGACACGCGTATATTTTTAATATTTATATTGACATATATATATATATATATATATATATATATATATATATATATATATATATATATAT